ATTATTATTATTATTGATGGTGAAATCTTAGTTTTTACAGTCATCTTTCAGGAAGTGGTTTTATTTAGTTCCTTCTCACCTTTGCAGTAGATTTCTCCATCTTTCTCAGTCTGAGTGGTCGACTCCAGGCTCTTCCCACATTTTGCACAGCGGAAACAGTTCTTATGCCATGGCTGAGGAAAGAAAGAAGCACAAAGCAGGCTGTGTTATTTACAATATCTAACCCTAATTCGAATGCAGAACGATCATGAAATGTTCAAGTGTCTGTGTTAGCAAAATACTGTATCTCATGAACAAATAAACAGATTTTGGAACTTACAGAAATTAGTTATTGAATTGGGTTTTAGACTCAGTCCAATTCAAGATGGCTGCCACAGTCAACTAACCTTTGAAAACAACATTTTTTACAGATGTTCAGCTAAAATTTGCTGTAGCTGTAGTTGAGTCATTCACTTTACAAAATCATTTWAAGTTTGACCAAATATGGTTACAACTCTTTCATTTCTCATCTTAACATGATAATATGTATTAATTCTAAGAGTTAGTCCTTTAAATATTTCTGTCTTTGTCATGTTAAGCCACACTTACCATACATTTTTAGGTTTGAGTAATGTTTTGACCAAATGACCATCATTGATTTATTACTGCAGATGTTTCTTTAATCTAATAAAACTTTGCTTCTAGAAACCCAAAAGAAATAAACATATAAAAGTTTCCACTCGGCCTGGGACAGKTCTGAACGTCTTCATTACAAACTAAATTACTGGTTAGCGTTTCACCAGTAAGTGGATCCTTCTCTCAGTGGGAACGGCATCAACAACTCTGCTTCTTCCGACATCATCTGCTTTAAATCAGCTCACGCGTGAATCCACAAGCCGTCAGCTGTCAGGAAGAGGCCACACCCATTTCAGATTCTAAAAATCCTCCCAAACTCCTTGTGTTTCCCCTCTCCAAGAACCCATCCCGTAGAATCCCACAGACATCAGAGACCTGAGCCGCAGTAAACCTGCATGCCAGCGGAGCCTCGTGTGAACAGCGGCAGCACCTCGGACGGCCCCGTCCAAAACTTATTCAGCAGCTTCAACTGGGCAAAAACAGGACTCGTGTTCTCTCATTTGCAGGGACCACACCAAGCATCCTAAATGTGGACCACGTGCGTTTAGTCCAGTTCCACCCATGTGGTTCCTGACGCACGCTGTGATCCTGGAGTATCTGAGCCAGCCAACACTTTCTKGGTTAGAGGGTGGATTTCACACAAAAACTGTAATGATAGTTYATTAAAACTGGAATTATATGTTGATGAGTTGGTTTAAACTTACAGTCTGTGTGAAGTAAATACACGAAGCTTTTATCTAAAGTGAAATAATTCTATCCTTTAGTAATAATAATAAATTTTGAACAGGTGATTCACTCTTATTACCCCACAAATKGATTATTTTAACTCTGTTGGTGTTAGTCAAGGTGGCCTCGCACAATAAAGCAGCAGGCAGACTTCTAAATAGCTGTTTGAGCGTTGAGGGGCCTCATGTGCAAAGACTTGCATGGATTTCCCACTGAAACGTGGCATACACTTAAATCGAGAAAACAGCATATGTACAAATAAATCCAGATGTACAGCGGGTAAAATAAGTATTGAACACGTCACCATTTTTCGCAGTAAATATATTACTAGAGGTGCTAATGACATGAAATGTTCAACAGATGTCGGTAACAACCCAAGTGATCCATACATACAAAGAAATC